CCTGCCTAAATGTTATGGGGTCTGAATGGGGACAGGATGGTGGGAGGGAGGGTGGACCCTGCGCAAAGTTCTGGACCTTCGTTTGCAGATACAGGAGCCAAGAGCTCTTGGGGAAAAGGCCTGTGGCTCTCTTGCAGGCAAAATCTCATTGGGCCACTAGGATTTTCTTAAACCATCCAGGATCAGATTGGCCAGTGCTATCATTTGTGAGAGGCTGATTGATAACTTTTAAAAAGATTGGTTGCTTAAAATTCTAGGAATCAATGGACTTCTGAGCCTCTCTATTCCTGTGGGATCTGAAATTTATTTTTCCTGATCTGTGTTCAGTCATTCTCTTCATGATGACAGCAAATAATGCCTTAAAGTCCATGTAGTTTGAAAGAGTCTGGAAATATTCAGATCATTGTTTATAAAGGTGTTTTTGGATTTTTCAATGCTTCAGTAGTCCTTCAACATTCTTAGTCCATTACCCAAAACATTTAAAAAAGAAACCTCCAAATAGCTCAAACAAACAAAACCTTCGCGATTATTTTTTGCACCTTCTTAACTTGATCCATTTTCGCCACCACCCTGGCTATAAAACCAGATGTGAGCAGTTCAGAAAATAATTGCTTAACTAGCCATTTTCCCACAGGAACCTAAGCAGAAAAGGTTGTGTGGTTCAGAGCTTGGAATGCACCACTCCCATCTCAGTACTTCCTAAATAGTTCGTAGGAAAAAAAAAAGGTTTTGCCACATAAAAATGAGAAACTTCTATCTGGCAAAAGTCATTATAAACAGAAGATTGCCAATAGGCTGGGAGAAAAAAAATTTTTTTTTTTTTTGAGACAGAGTCTCACTTTGTTGCCCAGGCTAGAGTGAGTGCCGTGGTGTCAGCCTAGCTCACAGCAACCTCAATCTCCTGGGCTCAAGCAATCCTACTGCCTCAGCCTCCAGAGTAGCTGGGACTACAGGCATGTGCCACCATGCCTGGCTAATTTTTTTTTTGTATATATATTTTTAGTTGGTCAATTTGTTTCTTTCTATTTTTAGTAGAGGCGGGGTCTCACTCAGGCTTCGAACTCCTGACCTTGAGGGATCCACCCGCCTTGGCCTCCCAGAGTGCTAGGATTATAGGCAGAAAATTTTTGCATTATATGTAATAGACAGTGGATTAATATCTATAATCTATAGGGGGTTTCCACAAATCAGGAAGAAAAAGATAACAGGCCCAAGAGAAAATGGGGAAAGAATATAAATAGGCAAGTCACAGCAGAACAAACTGAAATTTTCTCTAAAGAAATTCTTGTCCTTGAGCACCCAGTTGTCTAGACAAGGGTTTCATTGCGGTATTAGGCATTCATGAATAGAGGTGCTATGAAATACTGTGTGGCTGATAAAACATTGATGTAGGGTTCCGTGTCAATGAAAAAAGCAAGTGCAGAACAATGTGAATGAAATGTTCCCATTTATTTTTTCAAAAACATTTCTAATTATTTTATTTAGAATGCATATATCCCGTTTAAATTTTATCAGTGAGTACCTTTAGGTTAAAAAATATTTAAGGCTGTATTTTCATAATTATGACATTAATGAATGAAATATTAACTTTTGCCTCCCTCTTATATAAGATTAAATATTTTATTTCCCTTCCTCCTCTTCCTTCTCTCTTTATTGGTTTAATCTGGTATTATGAATTTTAGGCCTTGGGAAGAATTTAGGGACCCTTCCCTTCCTAGTAACTAAAAGGATTCCTAGGGGTGGCTACTGGGTCTTGGTGCCTGCAGTTGTATTTTTTGGTGTGACGAACAAAGGAATTCAAAGCTCAGGATTCTTCTTTCCTAGGATTTGCTCATTTTTGGTATTCACAGCCTTGCAGAGCTTCTCTGCCCCTGCCTCTATTGCAGAGCTGTGGCCTTGCTTTTTCCATCCCCTTAGAAAGGGAAGGGAAACCTGAGTGGCCCAGGAAGGCAAGGCTTAGAGCTGGCCTAGGTTGCAGGAGGAAACCTACTCTTTGCCTCTCTTCTTTTTTTTTTTTTTTTTTTTTTTGAGACAGAGTCTCGCTTTGTTGCCCAGGCTAGAGTCAGTGCCGTGGCATCAGCCTAGCTCACAGCAACCTCAAACTCCTGGGCTCAGCAAATCCTCCTGCCTCAGCCTCCCGAGTAGCTGGGACTACAGGCATGCACCACCATGCCTGGCTAATTTTTTCTATATTAGTTGGCCAATTAATTTCTTTCTATTTATATAGTAGAGACGGGGTCTTGGTGTTGCTCGGGCTGGTTTCGAACTCCTGACCTCGAGCAATCCACCCGCCTCGGCCTCCCAGAGTGCTGGGATTACAGGCGTGAGCCACCGCGCCCGGCCTTTGCCTCTCTTCTTGAGAGGGCTCTCAGCTGGTTTTCATCTTGATCTCAGGCTCCCACCAACCTAGGTGAAAGGGGTGCTTGCACCTCACTCTAGTTTTGCCTGTTTCACTGGAGTTTGAGACTCTAGCCAGAAAAAAACAGGAATTCCATCATAAGGTGGCACAGGGACATCAACTCCCTGTCTTTTAAAAACAGGCATTGCCTTTGGGGCAAAAGCAGTGCTTTCCTTAATCACATTTGCACTGTCAGTAGACTCCCAATGGATTTATGGGAATTATATCAGACTTGTTACATAGGCTTTTCTCTAGGCTGGAGAGTTTACAGAGTGGTGTAAGAGAAATTTATGTAAAACCAAAACTGTGGCAGTTATTCTGAAGAGGGGTGGCATAATTCATATTCATTGGGAGGGGGGAGTTCATTCCAGTCCCTTTACTACTACATAATGGTGGTTGTGAGAAGGTCAAAGTTCAGAACTTCTTCATATTCCTCAGTGCCTGGAGTGGATAGTTCATAGTGGGGCTGACTCCAGCTATGGATCATTGGAGGCCAGAGGAAAGATGATGGAGAGTAAGTTCCTGTGAATAATATGGGGGAATTTAGTTCCAGAGGGAAGGAAAGATACCCCCCACCCCCACCCCACAACATACAACCAGTATGAGAAGCATTTGGAGAGAGAGGAGCCAAGTAATGTGGTAATTAAAAAACCCTCTTGGCCGGGTGCGATGGCTCATGCCTGTAATCCTACCACTCTGGGAGGCCAAGGCGGGCGGATTGCTCCAGGTCAGGAGTTCGAAACCAGCCTGAGCAAAGAGCAAGACCCTGTCTCTACTATGAATAGAAAGAAATTAATTGGCCAACTAATATATATAGAAAAAATTAGCTGAGCATGGTGGCACATGCCTGTAGTCCCAGCTACTCGGGAGGCTGAACAGAAGGATTGCTTGAGCCCAGGAGTTTGAGGTTGCTGTGAGCTAGGCTGACGCCACGGCACTCACTCCAGCCTGAGCAACAAAGCAAGACTCTGTCTCGAAAAAAAAAAAAAACCCTCTGTCTCTTCATACCTTCAGGAGAGTCTGATGGACACACAGTGTTTTGTGAGTTTGTATGTGTTTTCTTTCTTTCTTTCCTTTCTTTGACAGAATCTTGCTCTGTCACCCAGGCTAGAGTGCAGTGGCGTCATCATAGCTCACTGCAGCCTCAAAACCTGGCCTCAAGCAATCCTCCTGCCTCAGCCTCCCAGAGTCCTGGGATTACAGGGATTACCACTGTTCCCAGCCTTGCTTTTTCTTTTTAGTAAATCATGGAAAAAGGGAACTGAGCCCTACATCTGGGACAGCTTAGAGCAGAAGGAATAGACCAGCCTCAGGAAACAAGATGTAGTAAGATCAAAGTCCAGCAATAGCTGGAGTCAGAGCCGAAGGTACTATTTTTTTTTTTACTTCATTTTTTATTTATTTTTTTTATTTTAGCGTATTATGGGGGTACAAGTGTTAAGGTTACCTATATTGCCCATGCCCCCCTCCCAAAGGGACTATTAAGAGCAGTAGCTGCTGGAATTTTCAGAAATTCTGGGAGAGTGCCATTGGACTTCTCATAGAATTTGGGATGGGAGATCCAGGCAGCTTTTAAAACAAGCTCAGTGACAGGGTGGTTGTAGCTAACATCTAATTGCTGTAGTGATGTGTGACTGATACAGTGTTTAACAGTGGTTCCCGCAAGATCTGCTCTGTGGATGCTCCAGTATGACATGAACTTTCAGCATTCTGCCCAATGGAAGCCATTTTCAGTTCAGACTCCAAAAGGGAAGGAAAACTTAGTAACACAGGGCTTTGTCACATTCTTCCTTCCTATGAGTTACGTAGAAACTGAGGATGCTGGTTAAAGAGTCAGAGAGCTCAGCCTCCCCAGCCACACCATGCTGAATAGGGTACATCATTTAGAGGTGAGCAGGGTGGGCAAAGTCTTGTATAAAGTCTTGAGACTTGAAGACTGCTCTGAACAAGGACCTAGGAAAATATTAAGACTCCAGTGAGTATCTGAAAGCAAGAAGGTAAAGTCTCTGAACTGCTGGAGTAGGACCAGGGTGAATCTAGCTAGTGCCACACGGAACAAGCATTCTTGCTCATTCTTTAGGGGAGAGGATGTGGTTAATGGAAGAACCTATAGTATAGTCTTAAAAATGAAATGATGAAATTCCAAACATTGAGGACAGTAGAGATCAGTGGGCTTTGACTGCCCAGAATGCGTTCTCCTTTCTTATATAAGAGCACTTTGACTTTCCTTTGGGGGACCACCTCCCTCCCTATTCTCAGACCAGGTTCTGGTGGAGCAAGTCCATCCCTTAAAGCAGCGGTCCTCAACCTTTTTAGCACCAGGGACTGGTTTCATAGAAGATAGTTTTTCCATGAATGGGCAGGGAGTGGGGGGAGGTAGGGAAGTTGGGGAGGGGGGTGGAGCTCTGCAGCCCAGTTCCTAATAGGCCACAGCAAGTACCGGTCCACCATCAGGGTGTTGAGAACCGCAGCTTCAGAGGACATGTGATTATGCCAGTCAGAGAGCAGCAGTTGGCATGGGCATGATTCCATATCCAGGCCAATCATGGCTCTTTGGATTTTTTGAAACTATTAAGAAAATGAACTCTTCTTTCTTTTCCAGCTCAGTTGCCAAGCCTGCAGAATGTAACCCTCATGCTGCTGGGGCCGTCCTGCCACCCCAAGGAGAACACTGCCTGAGAGGGAGGCCAGCACAGGTGAAAGCTGAGCTGTGACATGAAAGAGATGGAGACCAGATGACATCTTTTGAGCACCTATATCTAACCATGTCTTAAGCTCATCTAGCCTGGACATTTCATTTACATGGGCCCAGCCCTTCTTTTTTTTTTTTTTTTTTCCTTTTAAAAGTTTGATTTGGAATTCTGTCACCTGTAGCCAAAAGAGTCTTAACTAATCAGTGCCATCAATTGTATATAGCTCTCGTAACAAAGTATGTTGTGGCTCAGTCTTTTTTCACTGGGTCTTTTTGTCTTAAAGTACTGAATTATAAGTTTATTATAAGAACCAAATGAGACCATACATCTAAGAAATGTAGCATTATTCTCCACATAGAAAAAAACCCAGTAAATAGTAACTCCAAGAAGCAAGGCAGAAACGGGGGGAGGAAGAAGGGGTACTGAATTAAAAGAACCCCTGAAGTCCTAGAGTAATCTTCTAGGAACCCTCAAACCCAATCCAGTCTCCTACTGTAAATGCCCCAGTGCCCTGTGCTTTCACCTCATAACCCTTCATTGTGGTTGTGATATGTTTATGTGATATTTTGATTAATGCCTGTCTTCCTCATGGACTTGGCAGGGCTGTGAGGGCATGGTTTTGCTCACTGTTACGTACCAGCACCTAGTCCATTGTGGCATTTAGCACATGTTTATTGAATAAATTGTTACTTATAGTTATTTAGATTGGACTGACCCTCCTTGATTATCGGGGTTAGGATTGTGACAGAATTGGCAAAATTAGGGGCAAGTTGTCCCTCTCCTCTATGTCTCCTGTACCGCCCACACTGGTCAACACAGATGCAGAGAATTTTGTCTCAGTGAGATAGTGAATTTCTGTTTGGTTGTGAACCAAACCACTAGTTCTTACACACACACACATATATATATGTATATATATATGTTCTTTTTTCTTTTTTTTTTTTTTTGAGACAGAGTCTGACTCTGTTGCCCAGGTTAAAGTGCCGTGGCATCAGCCTAGCTCACAGCAACCTCAAACTCCTGGGCTCAAGCGATCCTCCTGCTTCAGCCTCCCAAGTAGCTGGGACTACAGGCATGTGCCACCATGCCCGGCTAATTTTTTCTGTATGTTTTTAGTTGGCCAATTAATTTTTTTCTATTTTAGTAGAGATGGTGTCTCACTCTTGCTCAGGCTGGTTTTGAACTCCTGACCTTGAGTGATCCACCCCCCCTTAGCCTTCCAGAGTGCTAGGATTACAGTCATGAGCCACCGTGCCTGGCCTTTATACTTTTATTAGATAATTTTATTGAAGAATTAAATGTATGGTTCTGGCCTATTATCTTGAAAACCTTGCAGAGTACCAGGTCCAGTCTTTGTGGTTAACAAGCAGCCTTCCCTTGGTCGGGTATTTTTATAAAATTATCTATTTAACTGGGGTAGTCCACCCTTCCTCAGGCTTTCACAGGAATGTGTTGGAGGCTGTAGGAATGTCCTGAAGCTGATGAAGGAAAGGTTTGGGCTACTGGAGACTTCACTCCCTGGCAAGAAACAAAAGCAGTAAAAGGTGGCCCCAAGGGTAACCAGAAGCTCATTCCTTCAGCACTTTTGGCTGGAGCAGCCTCCCTATCCAAGCCCTGCTCTAGCTCCCAGTATGCCACCTCACTCTGGCTCCTCCTCCCAGCTGAGGTTGCATTTCATCCCTTCCCCCAGCCTGCTTTCCCTGAACTGGGGGGAGTGTTTCCCAGGGCCTATGTGACTTCCACTGGCTAGTGACGATTACCAACGGTTTACCAGTCAGTAAAACTGCCAAAAGCTTTTGTGCGGTAATAATCCTTTTCCTGTTTAAAACTCTGGGGATTTTCTACTGTTGCCAATAGTTTTTCAAGTCAGCAATTACGGTCTGGATTATGTAATGGCTGGGAATTAAAAATAGAAAAGACCAGAGTTTGCATCTATTTTAACCAACTCAAAACGGAGCAAAGGGAAGGGGAGGGAGGAGAGGGAGAGACCAGAGGAGTAGGGAGGAAAAGAGATCATGTGACAAGAAGCAGTGAGATTGCTTCTTGTGACTGGATAATACAGCCCACAATTACTGTGCCCTTCTGCCATTCATGTCCCAAGGCCCTGCACTGGTTGGTTCTTCAGCCTCCTCCAGGGAAGGGACCCTGCTGAGAATTCTGAGGACACAGATCTCTTGTGGGTATTCCTTGGCTCAGCCTTGGTGTGTTTACCTGCTTCTGACAAGCAAAATGGCTCAGAGGGGAAGGAGTTGAATTTGCTGATTTGCTGTCTTCCCCCAAGTCCGGGACTCCTGTGTCTTAATTAATAAGATCTTTGCGCTCAGCTTGTTTTTCCTGTTGCTGTGGTAGAGTCAAGGGGTGGCTAATGGGTGGAATCTTTAGAATTCCCAATCTGTATCAGTCTCCTGGCCAAAGCCACCCCAAGTAAATATCCAGAGTAATTAAAACTCATGTATTCACTATGAAAACACAACTTTACGCTAGATACTCCTGGCCAGGCCTAGTAGCTCACACTTGTAATCCTAGCACTCTGGGAGGCCAAGGTGGGAGGATCACTTGAGGTCAGGATTTCGAGACCAGCAAGAGTGAGACCCCATCTCTATCAAAAATAGAAAAAATTAGCCTGATGTGGTGTGTGCCTGTAGTTCCAGCTACTCTGGAAGCTGAGGCAGGAGGATCACATGAGCCCAGGAGTTTGAGGTTGCTGTGAGCTAAGATGATGCCATTGTACTCTATCGAGGACAACAGAGCGAGACCTTGTCTCCAAAAATAAAAATAAAAAAAGATACTCCTAACCCTCCCACGTCCTTCACCCCCCAGCTCCTGAAACAGAAATTCCAGGGCTACCACTGGTTTGTTCTTGTGTGATACTGCCCCAATCCCCCAACCCCTTACCCTGAGTTATGGGGTATTTATGTTTTCTAGAGACATACTAAGTAACTTTAAAGCCTCTCTAATGGTGAAATTTTAGGTGTCAGGTGGGTCTTGGGGGGTATATTTTTGGAAGGAGGATTTCTAAGGGCCAGATAGAGCACATCAAAACATACCAGGTTTCCTAGTCCATTTTTTTGCTGTTATAACAATACCTAAGACTGGATAATTTATAAAGAACATAGACTTATTTGGCTTATGGTTCTGGAGGTTGAGAAGTCCCCAAGGTTAAGGGGCTGGCATTTGGTGGGGTCATCCCATGACGGAATGCAGAAAGGCAAGAGAGTGCGCACTAGAGAGGAAGGGGGCCAAACTCTGCTTTTGTCAGGAACCCAACCCCAGGATAATGGCATTAATCCATTCATGAAAGCAGAATCCTCATGACCTAATCACCTCTTAAAGCTCCCACCGCTCAACACTGTTGCATTAGGGGTTAAGTTTCTAACATATACACTTCAGTGTTCAAGCCATAACACCAGGCTTCCTACGAAGTCACATCCAGAGGCACCTATAGGGGGAGATTTTGAGTTAATCACTTTGTTTTTTTTTTTGTTTGTTTGTTTTGTTTTTTTTGAGACAGAGTCTCCCTCTGTTGCCTGGACTAGAGTGCTGTGGCGTCAGCCTAGCTCACAGCAACCTCAAACTCCTGGGCTCAAGCAATCCTCCTGCCTCAGCCTTCCAAGTAGCTGGGACTACAGGCATGTAGCCATGCCCAGCTAATTTTTTCTCTATATATTAGTTGGCCAATTAATTTCTTTCTATTCATAGTAGAGACAGGATCTCGCTCTTGCTCAGGCTGGTTTTGAACTCCTGACCTCCAGCAATCCACCTGCCTTGGCCTCCCAGAGTGCTAGAATTACAGGTGTGAGCCACCACACCCGGCTGAGTTAATCACTTTGGATAACTTATATAGACCTTGTGCCTGCACAGAGCCCATGCAAAAGGTACCCTACTTCCCAGGTCTCAATTGGCAGAGAGTGGTGAGTACTTTCAAGAAGCAGCTCACTAATGTCCAAAAACTGAACCTAAGTGGCTTTGGTGGGAATAGGGGGAGAGAGACCTAAAAATATAGATGGTCAATAGAATCAGTTACAGGTAATATTAGAAAATTATCTCCTCATCATTACTTCTGTCAGTTCTCACACCTACCCCATCACACTCCAGTCTTAGAGCCTTCATCTGCACTGGGGTGGAAAAAAGTGCCAACATTTCAGAATAATACTAGTCCTAGCTCCGCCCAGCCTCACCCAGTACTGATCAACCTAGTGGAATTGCAGTAAAAGGAAGAGAGCTCTAGGCATCATTTAGGTAGGAGGGAGGATCTGGGGACCTTCTTTAGGGATATTTAATCATAGTACTCTGGACTGGGAAGTGCCCATGATGTGGCACGTTTTTCTTATTCTTGTAGGGTTTTTTCATTTATAATTGTACATATTTATGGGGTACATGTGATATTTTGACTCATACATGTGATGAGTAATGATCAAATCACGGTAATTAGGATATACATCACGTCAAACACTTAACATTTCTTTGTGTTGGTAGCATTCCAAATCTTCTCTTCTAATAGTCACCTTACATACTATTGAACTAGAACTTATTCCTTCTAACTGTATTTTTGTACCCATTAACCAACCTCTCTTCATTCCCCCAGCCCTTCCCAGCATTCTGTTCTCTACCTCCATGAGATAGATCAACTTTTTTAGCTCCCATATAGGAGTGAGAAGATGTGACATTTGTCTGGTTTACTTCACTAAGCATACTGTCCTCCAGTTCTATCCATGTTACTACACATGACAGAATTTTGTTCTTTTTTATGAGTCAATATTGCATTGTATATATGTACCACATTTTCTTTATTCATTCATTTGTCAATGGACACTCAGGTTGATTCCATATCTCAAATATTGTGACTAATGCTGCAATATACATGGGAATGTGGATATCTATTTGACATACTGAATTCCTTTCTTTTGGATATATACCCAATAATGGGATTACTAGATCATATTTTTAGTTTTTTGAGGAATCTCCATACTGTTTTCCATAGTGGCTATACTAATTCACATTCCCACCCAAATTATACTGAAGTTCCATTTTTTTTCTGAATCCTTACTGGTGGTTTTTTTGTGTGTGTCTTTTTTTATAATAACCACTTTAACTCAAGCGAGATGATATCTTATTGTGGTTTTGATTTGCATTTCTCTGATGATTAGTTGTGTTGAGACTTTTCTCATATACCTGTTGGTCATCTGTATGTCTTCTTTGCAAAATGTCTATTCAGATCATTTGCCCTTTTAAAAATTAGATTATTTATTTTTTGCCATTGAGTTATTTGATTTCCTTATATATTCTGGTTATTAATCCCTTGTCAGATGGATAGTTTGCAAATATTTTCTCCCACTCTGTAGGTTGCTTCTTCACTCTGTTGATTTGTTTCCTTTGCTGTGTGGAAGCTTTTTAGCTTGATGTCATCCCATTTGTGTGTTTTTGCTTTTGTTGTCTGTGCTTTTGAGGTCTTACCCAAAAAATCTTTGCTGAGACCAATGTCCCGAAGTATTTTCCCTATGTTTTCCTCTAGTAGTTTAATAGTTTCATCTTACATTTAAGTCTTTAATAATCTATTTTATTTTGATTTTTATATATGGTGAGAGATGAGGGTTTCATTCTTTTTGCATGTGGATATCCAGTTTTCCCAGCACTATTTATTGAAGATACTGTCCTTTCCCCAATGTATGTTCTTGACTCTTGTCAAAAATCAGTTGTCTGTAG